TATATAAGAAAAGGGGGGAAAAGAAAAGGAAAAAGTGGTGGGGAGAAAAAGAAGTTTAAGAAAATCCCGTGATGAAGCTCCCCAATATTGTCTTGGTTCAACGCTTAGTTTTGAGTTGCTCCTGGCTGGTTTCTGATGAGAATGCGCTCTGGATTCACGAACACTGCGCTTCCGCTACACCCGTCTCCTTCCCCCGCACCCTCCCCCACCAGGCTGTGTTCACCTGCACGGACAGAAGTTGCCAAGGGCAGAGGTTTCATTCCAACAATTTGCAACCTCCTTTCAGCCCAGACTGTGCAATCCCATAACTGAGCAGATCTCTCTCGTGGAACATCAAAAAAGGAAAAAGCAAAAAAAAAAAAAAAAAGGGCGTGCATTGGGGAGGTGTCTGGGGAGAAGTGGGGGAGAAACCCACTTCCTGAAGGGAGAGGGGAGGCTGGGAACCTCAAACAGGACTGGTCCTTGGACAGTCTACATCGGTTGCCTTCCGTCAACAAGTGTCCGCAGAGCACAGAAGGTGAAGCCGTGGCTGACATGTTAACTTTTCGGGATAATTCCTGGTAGCAGAGCGGAAACAAGTGGTGTCGTCAGAAACACAGAGAGAGCATGAACAGAACAAGAAACAAAACAAAACAAAACAAAAATAATAATAAAAAACCCAAAAAATCAGGAAGGAGAAAAAAAGAAAAACACTCAAAAAAGGGAGGAAAAAAACAATCAAAAAAACCACAACCCAAGATCTGGCGAACTGGGTTTGTCATCTGTGCTACCTTTTCTTTTCTTTCTTTTCTTTTCATTCTTTTGTTCGTTTGTTTGTTTTTGTGTTTGTTTCTGAGATATATATTATATATCATATATAAATATATATATGTATATATATACAGTCATTCCTTCATACAAAATTTGTCTATAGACAGTTTTGTACTGTTGTGGCAAGGTATATACATCCTTCTAGTTTAGAGGCTAGCTTACTAAGGAATATTCTTTCATTCTTTCTTGCTTTTTTGTGTTTTTTTTTTTTCCTAAGGTATTTAATTTTTTTATGTGTTTATTTAAGGTTGGTCTTGTAGGCCGACTGATGAGACCATCTTTGCCTTGTCTTTGCCAGCAGGGTACTTATTGTCTCCTCTAGACCCATAGTCATTAGAACCGGAATCGCTCCGCTTGCTGTTTGCGCTATGCTTGGTTGGCGTGCCGGGGGGATGGCTCACCTGCCCGTTCTTCTCGTCTGAAAAAAGTTGTTTAATTACGTCAAAGAAGTTACTCAATGGGCTGCCTGGGTACACAAAACAGAGGAGACAAAAAAAGAAAGAAAGAAAGAAAAAAAAAAACAAGGAGAGGGAAAGAGAGAAAAAGAGGAGAGAGAGAAAGAGAACAAACAAACAAATGAACAATGGGGTTTTTAACGAGAAGAACATGATGAGGAGATCCAGAGCCACGTGCGTGGGGGTGTGTGGGGGATGAAGACAATGAGCGGGAAGAGGAAGAGTGTTTAGGATGGGACACCTACAGAAATAAAGAGGCTGGGAGCATAAAGCACCAAGGGGGAAGGTCCTAGTTTTCTCCTGAGTGGATGGGCATAGCTGTGTCACCTAGCAGGAGCACATAGTGCCAGGTTGCTGAAATACTCCTATTACCTAGCGTCACTTGACAACTCGGCACTGAAAGATCAGTGAACATAACCCTGGATACAGGCAAATCCCGCATGCTATTGTTCCTATTACAAATACAGGGTATTTGTCTGCTGTCACCAATTGACGCTTTGCTTTGCACCCTTGCTAAGTTTTCTGACTACACGAGGCATTATGCTTTTCTTGCTCGCCTTTGGATTCTTTCCGAAAGTCTCCTTGCTCACCTTCAGCCACTAAGCCTGAAGCACTTGAGTGCTCCAGGGGAAAAGCATTCGAAAAATGAGCTATGGCTGACAAGACTACCTCCATATGCATGTGTGATTCGTTCCCTGAGCTTGCAAGCTTCTAAGCACCTTCAGATCCTTCTTACAAGCATTTGGAAGTGAAGATGCTGTCAGCTTTGTAGAAGCAGGCTGTTAGGCATGTAACTATTTCTGGGAACTACCATGGCCAAGAACTACTTCCTTGTTGTCCTCTATTTATGCTCTCTCTTCTTTACAACACAGCCTCGGTGACACTAGCATTCATTACAGTGGAGTCAGGAGCCACAGAGGGATGTCAGGCTGCATGCTAACAGAACAGCTATCTCATTAAGCTAGCCGCTGGAGCAGGCTGCAGTATTAGCATGGGTTGGGCTCTGTGCACATGTGAGAACACAACCTTTCAAGCCACTCTGAAAAATCTCTTTGTCCACCGTTTCACCTTCTCATCAAACCCAAGATTCACTTTACCAATGCCATTTGCTGCTGTGGAGCGTGACACATCACAGACCCAGCTCTAGGGACCAAAGGGAACAGACAGACCCTGGACTGAATGCAGTGAGTTTCAAAAAAGACCTCTGCAGGTGTGCATCTAAGACCTCCTCAATTTACAAGGCATATCTTAGGCACTCTCATGTGCTTGCCTAACAGCTTGGTTAGATTTGGTCAGTGTTATGTAACTCCAAAGTGGTTATATACAACACATGAACTGGTGAGGGCCAGACAATCATCATTTAATCCCCTACTGCCAGGATAAGTCCAATGCAGTGAAAGACCCAGTTATGTCTCAGCATGAGTGATACCAACTCAGAAGCAGTACACAGAGGCTTCATGACACACAACAGCTCAGGCCGGACCTGTCAAGTCTCACCTACTGAGGATGAGACTTGTAAAGCAGTGCCCATTGCAGTGGTGGGTACACGTCTGTGCAACTATAGTTTTGGACCATCAGGCAGCAGGGGGGTGCGGTGTTGGCCTTGTCCTGTGTCAGAGGATGTGTGGAAAGCCTGGGGTGCTACTGGTGGCTACCGCAGTCACAATAGCCTTTGCAAGGGCATTTCTCAGCCCCTTTAATTCTCTGGGATTAGGGGGTCAATCCTGATCAGACATTTGAATAGGTCTCACTAAATTCACATACTAATTTATCTGGACATAGGTGTTTAAGGTGCTGGGTTTTTTATCGAACATGCACTAGGGAGGTGATGACTGTCCTTGATCATTAAAACCCCACGTTGTTTTTTTAAGAATGGACTGTTGGCTCCATTTTCTAACAAATTCAAATTAGGTCATTATATCCCACTTAAATAAATTCATTCTCCAGCTCCTGGAAGGAAAGGGGGTCGTTGTTTTCTGCCTTTGCAGTACTCTAGCATGCTATTAAGAGAGTGGAACCTTTCAGCCCTGAGATGGCAACATTCAGTCAGGAGCAAAGGGGTTTCTTCATAGCAGAGATCACCATTTATCCAGTTAGTGGGCACTGGTGGCTCAGTAATATTGTATTTCCATTCCCCTTTACTATAAACAACATAAGCAAATCTGTTACTACAGCAGGCAAGTATTGTCTAAGGATGGTGACCTGTGTGAAGAGTGTGTCGAGTGCTTTCTTATCCTCTAATGGAAGATGCCAGACAGACATCAATTGCTCTTATGCAAGGAAAGAGGAAATACATAGTATTTGTGCCCTGCAAAAAACTGAATGTGTGGCTCTTTTTTTCTGCCTCATGCTGACCAGTTACTGCTTTCCTCTGCATGTTAACAGGCATTGAGAAAAATCAAGTGGCTGGCCTGTAGAGAGTAAAGGATCTCAAAGTCTCATCGCTCTCACTCATTCCTCATCTTCCTCTGCTTACTGCTTTGGGTTTAACTTACTGCTGGCACTGGTTGTGTGTGTGCATTCAGTTACAGCAATACCATAACCATTGGGGCGTTACTTTCTGGAGAAGCATCATTCAGTTAACTGAAGCCTTAGAGATGGGCCCAAACAAACCGCCAGGCAAGACATGTATCTCAATTTCTGGCTAAGATGGGAAAATCTGTGAAACTCTCAGTCATTTCTGAGTCAGAGCTCTGTGATCTCCTGCCGCCTCCCTGCACACATGCTTTGGAAGGGGAATATCTGTTCCAGATCTATGAGTTCTAATTCAGAGGCTTCTGTAAGACGCCCTAAAAATCTGTTAGGTTTATGGGCACATGCTCTGCTCAGACTCATTTCTAACTCTTTTACGTGGATACTCTCTTTCAAAGAAGGAAAAAAAAAAAAAGGAAAGTAAGCATAACACTCAACCTTGAATGTAGGAATGTGGAAAGATTTGTTTTTTATGTGGCTTTGGACCCCTCATCTTCATTAGCAAATGGAGTCAGCAGAGAGAATGAAAAAGAGCACTGAAAAAAATGCTGGAGAGGGAAAGACTGCCAGGTTGGGAGAAAAGGGGAGGGGAATATCTCTAGTTATCCAGCTGAGCAGTTTGTTCAACAAGCTTAGAGGGAAAGAAGAGGGCAGAGTAAGCAGCGCTCTGCAGGAATTGGGGAAGTTTTAGTTTTGGCATAGACAGGAATAGTAGACAAAAGTACAGTTTACAAGAATAGAGTAATACAACATTTTAAAAATTGCATGTATATATCTTGTATTTGATGAATCCTGATATAGGATTTTTAATCATCCTACTACAATATGCAGCCCCTCTTTCATCCACCCTTTCTCCTCCCCATTCCCTACTGACTTTCAAGTGCCTGAAGATTTATTGCAGCAAGAGTATTTAACAGTCTGCCTTTCCTTTGCCTATATCTCTACTGGATTCCTTACAATCAGCATTTTCAGGTAACATTTTAATGGGAGGTAAGAAATCCTTAGGGATCTTTAAAGAGAGCTACTGAAAAATAAAATAGGCCATTTCACTAACTCTTTCCTTCCTTTGCCTTTTGTAGTAACTGGACTTGCAATTAGTCAACAGAGAACTGATCCTGTGCCGAGCAATACAGACAATCACTGCGTCGATGGTATCTCTGTGACAGCTTGTTAGCCCACACTTGGGCTGGTCTAGATATCGGTCTTTGAATGGACAAAGAATCCTCAGAATCCTCATATTGTTCTCTGGGGATATATAAACAGGGGTCAGCTATGCTGGAAGCATGAAAATGGTGAGTGGTGTTGCTCCTCCCAGTGCTCAGCTCCTTTTGGGCTTATTTGGTCAGCAAAACAAGACTTGAAAACGCAGGTGATGTTGGAACAGAACAGCTTTTCCAGCAATCTCCCATCCCTTGCATTCAGTGCAAAATATGTGATAGGCCGTTACACCTGCAAGGCCAACTGGGGGTCTCAAAAAGGGTCAGAAAGTGAGATGAGATCCTGCTTCCTCTGGGCAGGGTTGAAGGTTTAGCTCACTGATTCTTCAGCATTTCCCTGGTGTTTCATGCATCTGTAACTAAGGTCTTCTTTCCCCTGGAGAGCAAACATTTGTTGATACAGAGCAAAGAAGGCCTGAAGCGCAGCAAGGGTGAGAAACTGTGAGAAGGATCAGAGGCAGGAGAGGAGGTTCAGAGCATTAGGTTTATATCTGTTAGGAGGAGATGGATATGTGCATTTCTGAGTTAGACCAAGGATTTGCATGTTGCAAGACCACTCGGCAGGGGAATGGGTTTGAAAACAAGCACTGAAGCTTACGAAAGGGTCATGAACTGAAGGGACAGTAAAAGAATGTATTTATGGAGAAGGCATTGGTTTGTGGCATTGGTGTGCCACACTGTCATGTCCAAGTATCGCAAAAGAAACTGGGAACACACTGAATACAATAGGCACTAAAAGGAAGGAACAGGGCTGGGAACAAACACAAAGAGGTAAAAGGAAGCTGGGCAGACAGCTTATATTAACTCTCCGTACTACCATTCCTAAGAAGTCTCACATTGACTAAGTCCCAGTGATGTCACAGGTACAGGGAGCAAAGCTGCCCCAGTTAAGAGAGGAAAGAGAAAATTAGGTGGTGGCACCCAGCGAATCCATGTCTGCTCTGACCTTGCAAAGCACCCCAGAGTCCTCCACAGGAAGGTGGCAAACAAGCAGCTTCAGGACAGGCTTGGAGGCTTCAGGTCACTGATTCGAGCCTGCTGTTCCATAACATTTTAAGATAGTCAGATAAGGACTAGGTCCTGTTTTTGTTGAAGCAATTTGCAACATTCTCATTGACTTAACAGAAGCAAACCCTGAGGTACTTCCTTGTCCTGTGAAACCATCTCGAAATTTCAAGTCTATGCATTTTTAATACACTGCTCCTTGCATTGCTGAACACAAAATTGCACAAAGCAAATATGCCTTCTGTGAGATTATCCTCTGCCTTTCCCTTCTGCATAGCCTGAGAATTTTTGGTTCTGTGCATCTTTACCTTAGGCTT